CTTCCAAGGAGCATCCTTCCAAGACAAATGTGCTTGTTCTTCTGGCAGTCCATGGTATATTAAACATTCTTCACCAACACCATAATTTTCAAAGGTGTCAATTCTTCTTTGGTCTTCCTCATTCACTGTCCAGCTTTCCCATGCATATGAGGCGACTGAAAACACCATGGCTTGGATCAGGCACACCTTAATCCTTAAAACGATATCTTTGCTTTTTCACACTTTAAAGCAGCCTTTTGCAGCAGATTTGCCCACTGCAATATGTCATTTGATTTCTTGACTGCTGCTTCCATGGGTGTTGATTGTGGATCCAAGTAAAAGGAAATCTTTGACAACTTCAATCTTTTCTCCATTTATCATTATGTTGCTTATTGGTCCAGTTGTGAGGATTTTTGTTTTTGTTTTCTTTATGTTGAGGTATAATCCATAAGTGCTTCAAGTCCTCTCTGCTTTCAGCAAGCAAGGCTGTGTCATCTGCATATTGCAGGTTGCTAATGAGTCTTCAAGGGGCAAGGTTAGAATCTGAACCCCAGCCATCTGGCCCCAGAGTTTTTGCTTTTACCCACTGTGCTATTCTGCCTATGTACAAGAGTGCTTATTGCATGTGTGTTTGCAGAGGTAAATGCCCAGCAATGGGGAAATGGTGGAATAAAGCATAGTCTCTCCAGACAAAAGAATGTGGGTACAGCTGTTAAAAAAAACAAGTCAGATCTCTATGTGGTGACTTGGAGGGACATGCCAAATTATTAACCGAAAAAAATCAAGTTACAAATATGTGAAGCTTGATCCCCCGTCCCTCCTCTTTTAGGAGCAGTTAGGGAGAAGGAAAAGAGAAAATCAATATATGTGCGTATACGCGTCCATATAAGCGCAGAAAAAGGTAACTGAGGGTACCTACGAAAATTTCCAAGAGCAGAGAACATATCTATTTTGTTCACTTCTGTATCTCCAAAACCTGACAGTGGCTACTAAATAAATACTTAGTGTCTGAATAAATGGTTATATCTCTGGCGAATGGGATTTTGGCGTGGTGGGTGGCATGAATTACTTTTCTTATAGATCTCTGTAGTGTTTGTTATGATACAATGAGCATGTATTTCTTGCACAATTTTTTTTTAATCCAAATTCAACCCAAATACACACACACACACACACACACACACACACACACACACACACAGGCCATGCCCAGCGCGGGCCTAAAAAGAGGGAGCAATATCAACCTTAAAGAAAACACAAACACACAAACTGGTCCAATAGCCTCTCGTTCTAACAGAAACACTTCACGTTAGGTAAAGTGACACTTTAAAGCAAATGACTGTTCAATGCCTTTATCAAAACCGTAAAGACATTTAATCTAGATTTTGTGAGATAAACACTTAACAAGGTTAAACATTTAACTATAATCTACTTGTCCATGGCATGTCATTCTTTTAAACCTGAATTTGAAATATACCAGCAAAATACGCTTTACAGCAAAAAAAAGGCGCCAATGGTGGCACACTCTAAATTTCATTTTTGATTTACCACCTAACAACTGCAATGTCTGAAAAACAGGCTCACACTGAACTCTTAGACTGTTTCACACGACTGTGAAAATACCATGTGCTGTTGTCACTAACAATTGAGATCAAATTAAAAAAAAAAAAAATTACCGCTCGATTTCATCAGGTTAAAAAAAAAGAGAAGTAAATTCGGTGGCCACCGCAAATTCGATTGAGTCCACAGGTTTCATCGTCAGAAATGAAATCGGACAACAGGTTTCTGATCAACCTAAAAGGAGATCTAATAAATTCCCTTCCCGGCCTCTTCTCGGGTGTGTGTACTGCTCCCTAAATGTCTGGGACGGCCACCCTCCCGTATAGGATATTCTAACCCGCTGACACAGTGGAACTTTTCAGTAGGAAATGAACACTCAGCCAATCTCTGCCAGGCTAAAGCTGCAGAAACCAGTCAGTCCCCTGAAAGCCAGGCCTTCGTACCATACCTGCAGCCACTGCCATCTGGCCAAGTCCATCTTCTCTTCTCTGCCTCATTAATACAATGTTTTACATACATAAATTCTTGGTAACTTAAAAGAAATAACTCAACCTTGTCGGAAAACGCCACCACCAGTGGCCGCAGCGGAGGGGGATTCTCAGTGCCCATGAGGTGGGAGACCAGGATGAGCCAATGAAATGGCAGCTCCTTCCTTCTTGCCAACCAAATGGACGTGGGAAGGCTGGGGGAGAAGAACTCTAAGGTTTCTGCCTTCAGCAACGGGATCAATGTTGGCCCATTTGCCGAGACAGTGACTACTGGGTCGAGGGAGGGACGAGCAGTTCAGGTTGGAGTTCACCTTGAGTTTGAGGTGCCCAAGGAACTGCCACCAAGGGACAGCAAGGAAGCAGAGACTGCACATCGGGAGACTAGTGTGGCTTTGAGACATGAATTCAAGCACTGACAGCAGGTAACTAAAGCATTGGAATACATGTGTCAGGGTGTGTGTGTGTGAGAGAGAGAGTGAGAAGTAGGTAGGTAGACAGACAGACAGACAGACAGATAGCAGCAGGGGGCCGTGATTAACACCAGCCTGATGGCAGATCAAACACCATCTCTTCTCAGGCCCTTATGCTGCAGTACACTCCACAAGCTCACCTTTGGTGAATAAAATCTAGGGGGGGAAAAACCCCACTAACCTTGTCCCTGCTCTGCCCTATAGGTACAAACAGAACCAGAAAGGGCCTATCAAAAAAAAAAAAAAAAACAAGATACATTTATTAAGCTAAATAACTAAAATGCCCAGCCCTGTGCTAAACATAAACATGGATTAATCTCCTGGAATCATCAGCGCCTGGCACACAAGTCCTATGACTACCATTTCACAGATGGGACACTGAGGCTGGGAGCGAACGTGTGGGGAAGCACAGGGCTGTCATGTTACAGCCCACAAGCAGGCAGTCTCTGGGCCAGATGGAGAATACTGAAGAAGAACAATTATAATACATAAGAGCTGCGACTTAGTGACAGACGACTCTGGACTAGAACACACTCTTGGCAAATTCTTACAACCCTGAGGCTGAAACCGTTATTATCCCATTTTACAAAGGAGGAACCTGAGGCTGCAGGAGAGGAAGCCAACTAGACCACTTCTGAGTCTGGGAAGACGAAGGCTACAGCCAGAACCTCACCCTCACGGGGTCTGTGGACCACTGGGAAAACGCTGTACAACAAATGGTACCATTTATGGAGCACTGACTACGTGCCAATTGCTTCTCTAAGCATTTTACACATGGTACCCTCACTGCAGGAGCCCTGGTGGCGCTGTCGGTAAGCGCTCCGCTGCCTACCGAAAACTTGGTGGTTAGAACCCACTAGCCGCTCTGCGAGAGAAAGATGTGGCAGTCTGCTTCCATAAAGATTACAGCCTTGGAAACCCTATGGGGCAGTCCTACTCCGTCCTACACGGTCGCTATGAGTCAGAATCGACTCGACGGCAACGGAGGTATCCTAATTGCATCCTTAAAACAATTCTACGAAGTGGCTACTATTAACTCCCCCCCCATTTTACAGATAGGGAAACCGAGGCACAGAGAGGTGAAGTCGGTTGCCCAAGGTCACACAGCTGGTAGGTGGCAGAGCCTAAATTTGAACCTAGATCTCTCTGCGTACTAAATCAAAGCTCTTCACAAAATAATCTCATTTAACAGCAGCTACCCTGCATGAAGTGATAACTATGGACTCGACTCTTCACATACGCTCGCTTAACTATGCGATAGATATCTTCACTCTCATTTCTCCGGGAGCTAAGAATAGCGCAAACAACGTAGTAAGTGCTTTCTGAGGGCCAAATGCTTTATTCGCCGGATCTCAACATCTCAACAGAACGCCCAGCACGAGACAGGCTCTCCTTCCCGGTTTCTGCCGAAGGGAAACTGAGGTTCGGCGCGGTTTCCCCAGATCGCAGTTCCCGACTCCCATTCCACGCTCTTCCCCACCGCAACGGATTGCACGTCTGGAAAGTTGAGCCACCGGGGCACGAGTCCGGCCGGATCCTGAGGGCGCGGGTCCCGCGACGCCGCCGCCCACACCCGGCCGTCTGCCCGGTAGCCAACACGCGCTGACCCTCGGGGTCCCAGCGACCACCGATCCCCTGCCACGGCTGCAGCCAGCCAGTCTCGCACCCGGAGGCACATACCTGGACGTCCCGACTGCTCGCCCCGCGGGACCCGCGACCGCTGCGTCCGGCCCCGCGCCGCTCGCTGGAGACGCCGCCAACCCCGCTGGCCCGAGTGACTTCCAGGCTACCCACTTCAAAGCCGCTTCGCGCGAGGTCTCCTGGGAACTGTAGTTTTGCCCTAGGCGGCGGCGAACGGATAAAAGCCTGGCGCGCAAGTGCTGCCGGGAGCCGTAGGCGAACCGCCGCGCCGCCTTCTGGGAGAAGTAGTCCACCCGTCGTCCCCGTGCAGCTCCAGCCCCCTGAGCACTTCCGCAGCCCCGAGGGGCGTGAGGGATGGAAGCGTGTGTTCTGCAGACTCCAGCCAGAACACCGAGATCCTCACTTTGTCGGGCCAGCTTCTCACTCTTTCTCCCAGCCCTGTTCGCCTCCTCCCTTCATTTAGCACGTCCTCTCCCTCCCTCTTCACAAGGCACGAAGAACTTACCCCGAGGGCTCAAGCCTCGGGAGAGGCGGAGACATCTGAGCACTGCGCTAGATCCCCAACGGAAGGGGGCGGTGGAGGAGGGAGGCAATGCGACCTCGCGCATGCGCGTTCGCCGCCCTACGCCGGCCTTAATTGCCGCGGGCGCCAGCGGGGAGGACTTTTTTTTCCCCTTTTCGAACGCGCGCGCGCGCCTGCGCAGGATCTCGCGCTCGGCTTTTTCAAGTCTCGCCCACCGTGCGCGCGCTAGTGCGCACGCGCGCTCGCTTCGCTGGTTGGCATCGGTCGGTCTGCGGGGCGCTGGGTTGAGGTAACGGCTCTGTTGGCCAAGTCCTCTCGGAGCATCCCCAAGGTCGCTCTTCAGGCGCTCTCTGTAGGTCCGAGTCTCCACACAGGGGGTCCCGAGTGCCGCCGCACACGTCGTGCCCGTCCCTTGTCGGGACTCCAGTCTTTGCAGGTAACCGGCGTGGCACCCTGCCTGAGAGAGGCGGTCCCTCTCCACAGGTTTGGTGGCCTCTCCACTGCCTAGGCGGCTCCGGAGCTCCACCCCGACGGGAGCCTCGGGACCACGACCCAGGGGGTTGCCCTGGAGTCCCTGTTACCGTCCGTGTGTTCGTTTTAGCACACGTTCTGCAGTAACTAGTATCTGTTGAGTACCTCAAAAAAAAAAAAAGAAAAGCTACTGCCGTCGAGTCAGTTCTGACTCAGGGCGACCCTATGAGACAGAGTAGAACTGCCCCGTAGGGTTTCCAAGGAGCAGCTGGTGGATTCGAATTGGTGACCTTTTGGTTAGCAGCCAAACGCTTAACCACTGCGCCACTACAGCCCGGGAAACTGTGTCTATCTGCTGATAGAACGTGGATCCTACCTTTTTTCCCCAAAAATGGATTTTTGCCACTCCCACTCCATAAGGGTGACCGAGTTAATTGGCTGTAATTGTAAGGTCCCCGGTGAAGAAACCTCAGTACCCTTCCCGCCTCATCGTTCTTTCCAGGAAGGTACTCAGTAAGACGGGAAGCTGAGAAGCATGTATTTCTTTTTCCTGGGAGAAGGCAGAAGGTTATTCATTTGCTCATTCATTCAGCAAAACTGTATTAAGCACCGACTTCGTGCCAGGTTGGGTGATGAGAGACACAGGAGAGATCAGGACAGGCTGGGTTCCTACCCTCAGAGAGCTCCCAGTCCAGGGGCCACCACCAGACAGGGACAATCTGGAGCAGTACTGTTCAATAGAATACAAGCCACATACGCATTTTTAAATTTTACATTGAAAAAAATGAATGAAATTAATTTTAATAATTTAGCCCTATATATCCAAAATATCATTTCAAGTTATGCTTAATGAAAAAAAGAAAGATTGATATTGCTTCAGCTTTAAAATGTAAGTTAGTGAAAATTAAATAAAAATTTGAAATCCGTGAGGTATCAACAAAGATATTCATTTGTGGCATAGGTTGTAGTGGCAAAAGATTGGAAACCGCCCAATGTCCATTAATAGAAGTTTGGATAAATAAGTGATAGTTCAGCCACTCGGTGGAATACCATGCAGCTGGCAGCTGTTGAAAAATGAGGCAGAGCTCTACACATTAATGTGAGTTAATATCTAAAGTATACTAAGTAAGAAAAAGGGTGCAGAAGTACCATTTGTGTAAGAGAAAAAATAATTTTTGCATTTATCCTGTGGGAACACCTGTGGGAAGACACAAGAAAGACAGCCTGCATTGCTTCTAAAAAGGGGGAGAGAGGGACAGGTGGTCAGGTGTGGAAAGGCAACTTCTCATTGTATGCCCCTTAGTACATTTTGAATGTTTTTACTACGTGCATTAAAAAATGTTTAATTCAATGGAGAATAATGGCTGTCTCACAGAATCATTGTAAGAATTAAATAATATATGTAAAATGCCTAGTTACCACTTCACCACTTACCAGTCCTGGATGCTATATTTACTCCCAGGGATTAGGACAACTCTTCCACTCAATACTCTAGAAACTAGCCTGCCCTAGTAATGTATGTTGGTCAGCCTGGAAAACTGTTTCTCCTCATGAAGAAGTGTCTAGTGTCCCTAGACCCTAGGGACAGACTTAGACTGCTTGTCATTGTTATCGTTAGTTGCCATCAAGTCAGTTCCGACTCACGGTGACCACATGTGTGCAGAGTAGAACTGCTTCATAGGGTTTTCCAGGCTGTGACCTTTTGGAAGTGGTTTGCCAGGCCTCTCTTCTGAGGTGCCTCTTGGTGGATTTGAACCACCAACCTTTCAGCTAACAGTCCAGAGTTTAACCTTTAGCACTACCCAGGGACTCCTTCCTTATTGCTAATGTTATTCAAAGAACAGAACAAGTAAGTTCACCCCTCTGGCTTTGCAGTCAACTAATTAGGCTGTTCTGTTGCCAGCCAGACTCTACCCACCCCCTCCCCAAATGTGAGACCCACCTGCAAGACTATATGATCTATGCAGGGTGCTATTTCAAAGTGAGGAGCACACATCATCTTCCTTTCCAGTGGTCAAATCCCCATTATATGTACTCAGAGCGCTCTGCTTTTCCTTCTTAAAACTTATCACTAGCATAATTTGTTAAGTTTAAGAAAATTCAAAACTTTAGAGAAGTAGAAAGAATAACATAACCCGTCACCCAGAATTTCCCATAGTACTTAATTTCGTAACTATTCTGCCTTCCTTACTGAACTGTAAGCTCTGTGGGGCAAGAACCACACCTGTATCCCCTCACACACCTGTAACACAGCACAAGGAGCCAAAGAGTGACCCAGCAGGAGCGCGGGGCCTTACAGTGTTGTGGAGTGCAGTGCCCCCAAGAGCCAACTTGCTTTATTACAAAGTCAGGGTTGCGGGATGATGGTGCTCCATCCCCAACCACCACTGACACTGTACCTTGGAGTGGACCGAAGCTAAGAAGGAGGATATAGTGCCAGTGTGGGCACCCAGTCACGGTTTGTCTGGTTTGTCTCCACAGTCGGGACATGTCTTTTCTCGGTCCCACATAGCATCTCTCCTGTTAACTGTTGTTGCTGTCAGTTGCCATGGAGTCAGTTCTAATTCACATGACCCCATGTGTGTGAAGTAAAACTGCTCCATAGGGTTTTCAAGGCTGTGACCTTTCAGAAGCAGATTGCCAGGCCTGTCTTCCAGGGCACCTCTGGGTAGGTTCAAACCACCAGCCTTTCGGCTCATAGTCAAGCACTTAACCGTTTGTGCCACCCAGCGACCTGCATGTTGACTACAGGTCTTGAATTCTCCCATTAGATCTTCTCTGGGTTATCAAGATATTACTAAGTGAAGACCATTGGTATTAAGGTACTAAGGCATCTAGAGCTCATTAAGGACTTGCTTTTAAGGACAGGTACTGGGATTAGGGAATCGAATTTGGGGGATTTTAGGAGAGACGGCTTCCTCTGAGGGTAACCTGAGGAAGATGACCTAAGGGATGGGAGAGAGCAGTAATGTAGAGATTTGGGTTTGAAAGCCCTCTTTCTCACACCCTAGGAGTGTGCCCCCGAAAGGTCCCAACTGCTTGCTTTTTGAAGGCTGGTCGGGAAGAGTTGGACTCACTGGAGATATTTGGATCAATGGGAACTGATGGTAGTGACAGTTAGGTACAAATGACTGCCCTCTCAGCAGCTCTGGGGGCTCGGGAAGGAGCCCGTGGGGGTAAGTGAGCAGTACGGCCTGGCCTGCAGGGCCATTCACTGACATGCAGGGTCTGCAGCAGACCACGTTAGCTCCTGGAAGGCAGTTCAGATGAGGAACAAGTACAGGGTTGAAGGGGAACCGAAGGAAAAATGATATCACAGGAGGGCGGCATGCAGCCTGGGGGAGAGACGCTGTGACAGTCAGTCCCCACTTTCCAATCTGAGTGGATCTGTGGGTCAGGGACCCTCCTTACCACCAGTGCTATAGCTTCTTCCTCCAATGTGGCAGAAAGAATTCTGAACTGTGGATTGGATCTTGGTCTTGAATCTGCCCTATGTAACCTTGAACACATCTCTTTTCCTCTCTAAATTCATGTTCCCCATATGTACAATGGAGAAATGATGTCTACCCCTCAGGATTCTTTTGAGAATAAATGAAGTGATTGATGCAAAAAGTATTTTTGTGGGTTTTAACTCTTTTTACACATGTGACATGATGGTAGGTTTTGCTTGCTGCTTCCCTCCAGGTCCAGATATGCAGCCATCAAATCTCTGTGGCAACACAGGACATGAGCTTAGCCATACCAGAGGCTGAGTTCTGCTGACCTTGCCTCAGGAGACCCAGGCCAAACTTACCTGGTACCTATCAGCTCTCTAGAGGGTCAGCAAAAAAGACGACGACCCTCAATAAGATGGATTGACACAGTAGCTGCAATAGTGGGCTCAAGCATAACAACGATTGTGAGGATGACGCAGGACTAGGCAATGTTTTGTTCTGTTGTACATAGGGTCACTATGACTCAGATCCGACTCGATGGCACCTAACACCAGCTTTCTAAACCAGTGGTTCTCAAACTTTAGTGTGCATAAGATCAGCTGGAGGGCTTGTTAAAACTCAGATTGCTGGGCCCCACTCTCAGAGTTTCCAGTTGAGTAAGTCTAGGGTGGGCCTGATACTTTGCATCTCTAACAAGTTCCTGGTGATGCTGATACTGCTGGCCTGGGAATCACACTTTGGGAACCCCTACCCTAAACTGAGGAGCCCTGGTGGTGCAGTGGTGAAGAGCTATGGCTGCTCACCAAGAGGTCAGCTGTTTGAATCCACCAGCTGCTCCTTGGAAACCCTGTGGGGCAGTTCTACTCTGTCCTGTAGGGTCACTATAAGTCGGAATTGACTCAATGGGTTTGGGTTTTTGGTGTGTTTTTTTTTTTTTTTTTTTTTGTTTAAACTGCAAGTTCATCAGCTTTCCTCTTCTGGCAGGCACACGGATGGCCGCCATTGCCCTCTGCTGGCCAGACTATAAATTTAACTGTCACATTTCCAGAGCAACTAAAACAAACCAAACGCATTGCCTTGGAGTCTATTCCGAGTCATAGCGACCCTAGAGGACAGAACCGCGTAGGGTCTCTAAGGCTGTAATCGTTACAGAAGCAGACTGCCACGTCTTTCTCTCGCGGAGCAGCTGGTGGGTTTGAGCAGCCGACCTTTCAGCTAGCAGCCAAGTGCTTAACCGCTGTGCCAGCAGGGCTCCTTCCAGAGCAACTGAATAGCCTTAAATTAAGTACAAAGTATGGGTTGGAAGGAATAGAGTGGTCACCTGTCTGAGATACAGCAATCAAGTCCCTTAACAGATGAATGGATAAACAAAATATGGTATATACACACAATGGAACACTACTCAGCCGTAAAGAGAAATGAAATGCTGATAAATGCCACAACATGGATGAACCTTGAAAACATCATGCTGAGCGAAATAAGTCAGTAGCAAAAGTACAAATGCTGTATGATCTCACTTATATGAAATAAGTAAATATGCAGCAACCAAATATTATGGTTGAGGGGAGGGAGTGGGAAGGAGGAAGTTTTTTCGCTGGGGGGACATTAAGTTTATGTTGATGATGGTGAAATGGTTTGGAAAAGGGTAGGGAGAATGGTTGCACAACTTGAAGAATATAATCAATGTCACTGAATTGTACATGTAGAAATTGTTGACATGGTGTATGCATTGTTACATATATTTTCACCACAACAGAAAAAAAAAAAAACCGCAACTCCACAACCACAACAAATTGTTCCTTCCGTAAAAGAGCTTTCACATGAATTCTCTTATTTGAGCTTTGCAGCAGTCCTGTGAAGTAGTCAAGATTGGCATGTTCATTTTACAAATGAGGAAAGATCAGCCCATGATCACACCAGCAATGGCAGATTCCCTGACAGAAGGGCATTGTTAAAAGTAGGATGTATATACAGTCTAACCAGGAAATCTAGAGGTTTGTCCCACGAAGACCAAAGCAAGGGACTGAGGGAGGGCCTGACGAACAGCTGTGCCCCATGTAAGAGAGCTACCTGACTGAGCATGGCTGGGAAGCCCACAAGGCCAACTGGCTACATTCTCTCTCCGCCTGTGCTAGGTAGAGCTGACCCTTATGCTTAGCCCCTCTTATCATTAGTTCCCATTTCAGTAGTCAGACTTGAATGTTAATAGAATCACCTAGGGAGCTTGTTACAAGATTCTGATTCAGTAGGTCTGGGGCAGGATCCAGGAATTTGCATTTTAAGACATGTATCTCCCCTAGGAATCCTGGTGCAGGAGGTAGAGGGACCACACTGTGGGAACCCCTGTTGTTGTTCTTGTTTGCTGTCAAGTCGATTCCAACTCATAGTAATACCATGTAACAGTAGAACTGCCCCATAGGGTTTCCTAGGCTGTAATCTTTATGGGAGCAGATCGCCAGGACCTTTCTCCCACAGAGCAGCTGGTGGGTTTGAACCCACCGATCTTTTGGTTAGCAGGTAACAGCCGAGCACTTAACCAATGCACAACCAGGAGCCCCTAGGCCTCACAAAATGCTCTCCTGACACACCACCACCAGCAAAGAACCATTTGCTGCATGAGGATTCCTTTCTAGCTTCTCTCTAGATTTCTCTGCTACCCTCACCCCTAATATCCTGCTGAGTCATGGTAGGAAAATACTAACAGTCAATTCCCAACTCCTTTATTTACCCTATTTGAGCCTCGGTTTTTCTCATCTATAAAATGGAATAAACATCACTGGACTGTAGTGAGGATTAAATGAGATGAAGTATGTCTTGTGCATAATTTCTGACATTCAGAGGATATTTGATAAACATGAGTTTATGGGTCTTCTGATTCTTATCACTTAAAAAATAGTAGTGGCTAAGCTGGCCTCTTTTGGATCCCCACAGGTTTTTAAGCAACAGGTCCTGAAGAGGACCAGAGAATAATCAAAGTGATGTCTTCCCCCAGACTCATTCCCCTGTGGAAGGATTTTAACTACCTCGTAAATGACATCATAAATAAGAGCAAGGTAATGTATATGTAGGACATAAGCATTAGGTATTGACCTCTATCTGTGTTACACTTATGAACACTTCAGAAGAGCCATAGGAGGGACTGGGCCCTCCTAATAACATGTCCAAAGTACTTGAGATGAAGTCTCCCCATTCTTGCTTCTAAGAAGCATTCTGGCTGTACTTTTTCCAAGGCAGATTTGTTTGTTCTGGCAGTCCACGGTATATTCAATATTCTTCACCAACACCATAATTCAAAGGTGTCAATTCTTCTTCGGTCTTCCTAATTCATTGCCCAGCTTTCGAAGGCATATGAGGTGATTGAAAATACCATGGCTTGGGTCAGACATACCTTAGTCCTTAAAGTGACATCCTTGCTTTTTAACACTTTAAAGAGGTCTTTTGCAGAAGATTTGCCTAGTGCAATGCTTCATTTGATTTCTTGACTACTGCTTCCATGGGTGTTGATTGTGGATCCAAGTAAAATGAAATCCTTGACAGCTGCAATCTTTTCTCCATTTATCTTGATGTTGTTTATGGGTTCCATTGTGAGGATTTTTATTTTCTTTATGTTGAGGTGTGATCCATACAGAAGGCTATAGTCTTTGACCTTCATCAATAAGTGCTTCAAGTCCTCTTCACTTTCAGCAAGTAAGGTTGTGTCATCTGCATATCACAGGTTGTTAATGAGTCTTCCTCCAGTCCTGATGCCCTGTTCTTCTTCATATAGTCCAGCTTCTCCGATTATTTGCCCAGCATGTTGTTGTTAGGTGCCGTCGAGTCAGTTCCGACTCATAGCGATCCTATGTACAACAGAACGAAACACTGCCCGCTGCTTCATCATCCTCACAATCCTTGTTATGCTTCAGCTCATTGTTGCAGACACTGTGTCAATCCATCTCCTTAAGGGTCTTCTTCTTGTTCGTTGACCCACTACTTTACCAAGCATGATGTCCTTCTCCAGGGATTGATTCCTCCTGGTAACGTGTCCAAACTATGTGAGATGAAGTCTTGCCATCCTTGCTTCTAAGGAGCATTCTGGTTGTATTTCTTCCACGACAGATTTGTTCATTCTTCTGGCAGTCCATAGTATATTCAGTATTCTTCACCATCACCACAATTTGAAGGGATCAGTTCTTCTTCAGTCTTCTTATTCATCATCCAGCTTTCGCATGCATATAAGGCGGTTGAAAACACCATGGCTTGGGTCAGGCACACCTTAGTCCTTAAAGTGACATCTTTGCTTTTCAACACTTTAAAGAGATCTTTTGCAGCAGATTTGCCCAATGCAATGCATCTTGATTTCTTGACTGCTGCTTCCATGGGTGTTGATTGTGGATCCAAATAAAATGAAATCCTTGACAGGTTCAATTTTTTCTCCATTTATCATGATGTTGCTTATTGGTCCAGTTGTGAGGATTTTTGTTTTCTTTATGTTGAGGTGTAATCCATACTGCAGGCTATTGTCTTTGATCTTTGTCAGTAAGTACTTCAAGTCCTCTTCATTTTCAGCAAGCAAGGTTGTGTCATCTGCATATCACAGGATGTTAATGAGTCTTCCTCCAATCCTGATGCCCTGTTCTTCATATCAGCCAGCTTCTCAGATTATTTGCTGAGCATACAAATTGAATAGGTATGGTGAAAGGAAACAACCCTGACGCACACCTTTTCTGACTTTAAACCCTGCGGTATCCCCTTGTTCTGTTCGAACAACTGCCTCTTGATCTATGTACAGGTTCCTCATGAGCACAATTAACTGTTCTGGAATTCCCATTCTTCGCAACATTATCCATCATTTGTTATGATCAACACAGTCGAATGCCTTTGCATAGTCTATAAAACACCATTAAACATCCTTCTGGTATTCTGCTTTCAGCTAGGATCCATCTGACATCAGCAGTGATATCCCTGGTTCCACGTCCTCTTCTGAATCTGGCTTGAATTTCTGGCAGCTCCTTGTCTATATACTGCTGGAGACACTTTTGAATTATCTTCAGCAAAATTTTACTTGCGTATGATATTAATGATACTCTCCAATAATTTCTGCATTCGGTTGGATCACCTTTCTTTGGAATAGGCATAAATATGGATCTCTTCCAGTTGGTTGGCCAGGCAGCAGTCTTCCAAATTTCTTGGCATGGACTAGTGAGCACTTCCAGTGCTGCATCCATTTGTTAAAACGTCTCAACTGGTATTCTATCAATTCCTGGAGCCTTGCTTTATGCCAATGCCTTCAGTGCAGCTTGGACTTCTTCCTTCAGTACCATCAGTTCCTCATCATACACTACCTCCAAAAACGGGTTGAAAGTCGACAGTTCTTTTTGATACAGTGACTCTGTGTTTTCCTTCCATCTTTTTTTTTTTTTTATTGTACAGCAGGTGAAGGCTTACAGAACAAATGGCTTCTCATGAAACAGAAGTACACATGTTGTTTTATGACATTGGTTAACAACCCCACGACGTATCAACCCTCTAACTTCTCAACCTTTTTTTTTTTTTTTTGGTGAAAATACACACAGCCAAAGATACACCATTTCAAAAATTTCTATATGCACGGTTCAGTGACATTGACTATGCTGTTCAAATTGTGATGTTATTCTCACTTAAGACTTCCATCTTTTGATGCTTCCTGCATCACTTAATATTTTCCCCGTAGAATCCCTCAATATTGCAACACGAGGCTTGAATTTTTTCTTCAGTTCTTTCAGCTTGAGAAATGTAGAGTGTGTTCTTCCCTTTTGGTTTTCTATGTCCAAGTCTTTGCACATGTCTTTGTAATACTTTACTTTGTCTTCTCAAGCTGCCCTTTGAAATCTTCAGTTCTTTTACTTCATCATTTCCTCTTTTTGCTTTAGCTACTCGACGTTCAAGAGCAACTTTCAGAGTCTTCTGACATCCATTTTGATCTTTTCTTTCTTTCCTGTCTTCTTAATGACCTTTTGCTTTCTTCATGTGTGATGTCCTTGATGTCATTCCATAGCTTGTCTGGTCTTCAGTCATTAGTGTTCAATGCGTCAGATCTATTCTTGAGATGGTCTCTGAATTCAGATGGGATATACTGAAGGTTGTACTTTGGCTCTTGTGGACTTGTTTTAATTTTCTTCTGCTTCAACTTGAGCTTGCATGTGAGCAATTGATGGTCTGTTCTGCATTTGGCCCCTGGCCTTGTGCTGACTGATGATATTGAGCTTTTCCTTCATCTCTTTCCACAGATGTAGTCGATTTGATACCAGTGTATTCCATCTGCTCAGCATACAGATTGAATAAGTATGGTGAAAGGATACAAGCCTGACACACCTTTCCTAATTTTAAGCCATGCAGTATCCCCTTGTTCTGTTGTAATAACTGCTCCTTGGTCTATGTACACGTTCCTCATGAGCACGATGTTGTCCGTTTGTTATGATCCACACAGTCAAATGCCTTTGCATGATCTATAAAACACTATTAAACATCTTTCTGGTATTCTCGGCTTTCAGCCAAGATCCATCTGACATCAGCGATGATATTCCTCATTTCACATCCTCTTCTGAATCTGGCTTGAATTTCTGGCAGTTCTCTATGGGTGTACTGTTGCAGCTGCTTTTAGTCTTATTTAGTGCACTTTTCAAGCCTTAATAACTTAAGCTGTACTGACTTTTGGGACACTATATTATGTATGATATATGTGCCTGAGTCATCTGTTAAATATTGTCTCTTTTATGATATATGTATCTTTTAGACACAAAGGAGAAAGCTAAAGGACAGGTGTAGCTCACTTCATGTTGGGAAGAAGATAGGTTTTCCCTTATGCTCACACTATAAGATTTGCCTGTATAGACCCTTCAGGGGTTTTCCCTTATGCTCACACTATAAGATTTGCCTGTATAGACCCTTTAGGGGTTTCGTTCTCTTATGTGTTGAGGGCTTTGTTACATGCTTCCGAAGTGTAGGTGTCCCACGGGTGGTAAGTTGTGCACGTGTGGGTGCGACAGGAGTGGTCCTTGTGGTGTGAAGCATGATTTGGGGAATATCTTCAATTGTGACTTGTGTGAGAATATATTTAGTATGTGTATATCATGGCCTTTTGGTTCATGCCATGTTTCTCCAACAGTATCCTTTAGATGACTCAAAGAATGAAGTAGTTGTGCTGAGTGACCGTTCCCAGATATTGTTCAAGGAGTCTCGTCATCCTCAAAATATGCCACTTATATGCCATTACTTCAGTGATGCCAACTTCTTTGCCTCCCTCTCTTGGGTGTCATCAAGCACGAAAGAAATACAGGTAAAACTGCCTAGGCTTTCTTCCCCTTCTTAGCCCATTCTACAGGGCATGCCCATGTAGCTCTCACCCCAGACTGACAAGGGAAAATAGACCCCTTGAATTCACATCTTGAATGAAAGTGACCTGGATCCAGGGATCACCCCTCATTCTTTCTCTAACTTTAGTTTCTGTATTGAACAGAATTTATGGTCCTAAAGTAGGCCAAGGTTAGGGAAAGAGTCCTAGGCTTCCTGCTTCTATAATATTTCCAGGGTAAAATCACTCTAGAGTCTTCTAATTCCTCTTTAGCATGTGAAGAGGAAAATGTGGCTCAATATTCTGCCCTTTCCTCCTCCTCTATCTTTTATAGGCAGTTTTCATCTTATTCTCTTCTAGGCTGTAGTATGGATGAAGAGCAAAGATGAGGACATGGTTGAGAAGAGAATATTCTCCATGACTGAACGATTACCACCCATCCAGTCCATGGTCCACACAGGTTCCTTTCACCTCCTCGTGGCCTACTGTGGTGACCTGTCACTGCGGCTCTTTGGGGACCATTTTCGGGCATTCAAACCCCTGGGGATAGTGCCCTGCCGCTTCAACATCAGCTGCCTCTGCTATGACCCAGAAATGAAGATGCTGTTGTCAGGCATTCTGGGAGCAGTGGTCACCTGGGTTATCGAGCGAAGTGGCAAGGGCCTCCAAATAGCCCACGTGGTTTCCATGCCTGGTGATGAGCTTGTTCAGGACATCGTGCTGAATGGCCCCAATGGGTCCCTGCTGGCCCTGTGTGAGACTGTGGTGAGGGTCCTTGAGCGTCAAGGCCCGGGCCGTCTGGGAGAGACAAAGAAGTTCACTTCCACCAGCAGTGGCTCCTCCATCACTTGCTGCTTCACCTGTTTTGATCAAGGCTTTCTCTATGCTGGAAACAAGGCTGGGGAAATCCAAGCATGGAACCTCAGCCGGGCCCACTTCCTCCACAGTTTCAAGGCCCATTCCTCATCAGTGATATGTATCCGGAGCAGGGCAGAGGCCCACACCTTGCTAACAGCTGGCAGGGAAGGCTTAATCAAGGAGTGGAACCTTACTTCAGGGAACCTGCTGCGGCGGCTAGAACTTGGTCAGGACTTGCAGCGGCTCCAGTTTATTGATAGCATTACTTTCTTCTGCCAGACCACCCATAGTTTTTCCTTGCGCCGTCTGCCCTGCTTCTACAGCCTCTTCAATGTCTGTGGTTCTGCTCCCCTTCAGGTGCGTAGGGTCCACTGTGGAAATAACTGGTACCGGATCCTGTGCATTACTGAGGATGGCTTGTTGCGCTTTTTGTCCCCACAAACAGGGGATCTCCTGATTCTCACCTGGCCCTTCTCAATGCTGGACCGGGCTGTGGATTGGGCTTACGACCCAGATAGACAGGAGCTCTTTGTGGCAACAGGCAGCTCAGAGGTGCTGGTATTTGATGCAACCCGCTGCCCTTGCCCAGCCAAGTATCTTTTATGCACTTCACCAGATTCTCAGGACTTGGTACAATGCCTGGCTTATGGGCATTTCCAACTGGGTCGGGGTCTAGAAGGACTGATGTTCTCTGGGCACCGGAGTGGTGTGATAAGAGTACTTTCCCAGCATGGCTGTTCCCGAATAGAGAAATTCATGCACTTTGGGGCTGTATTGGCCCTCTCTACACTGTCAGGAGGGTTTTATGGTAGCCGAGAAAACTCTTTGCTCTGTTCCTATGGAATGGATGACTATGTACACCTGTCAGAGGCTGTGCTTGATGGGACTAGAGTATGTCTGCAACCTCTCGCCTGCATTCTTAGCAGCTGTCACCTAAAACACCTGATACTCTTGCCCAAGTCTGTGGGTGCCATCACGGAGACTAACTGCCTGCGGCTCTGGAAGTTCCATGACATTCTGTCCTCTGAATCAAAGAAAGGCTCTAAGTTCATACAGACATTGCCTCTGCACCAGTGTGCCATCACATCCTTTGATGTCTGCCTATCCCTGAGTCTTTTCGTTACAGGTGGTGTTGATGGTTCTGTCCGGATCTGGGACTTCCATGGTAGACTCATAGCCATGCTGGACTCATCGTTGCACTTTGGCCCACTCTGCTTTGCAAATGACCGGGGTGACCTGCTTGTGACTTTCAACCAGAGTCTTTATCTGGTGTCCTGTTTAAAACTCCTTCCTTCAAGCATGTTGGTTCATCTTTCCTTTATGAGCATAACAGATGAAGTGGTAGAAGTCCCTAAGCCTTTCACACCAAGTTTCTTCTTCTCCTTTGAGACCATGTTTGTGCCCAAGTACGTCTACATTGGACAAGGGCAACAGGAACTAGTGGGTCTGCAGAACCTTGACAATAAGCGGGCCATTGCCTTTGACCATACTGTGCCACATGTCATAGAAGATGAAGAGGAAGGGGGCCCCGTATTTCTGTCTGCCCCTAAACATCATTCTTTGCAGGGGGAGGAAACTGACTTGATGCAGGTGAGCAACCAACAGCACCATCCCCATTATGTGGTTCCTCCCCAGCTACAGCTGACTGGCTGGGATGGACTCCACCCCTATCAGATATTGCGATACTACCTTGGTCATGGGCGAAAATGGCTCTTTGCCCCTGATGGCTACATCCCCAATTCAGTGATTCGTGCCCGTCTTTGGCCAGAGGGCAGCCCAATATACCTACAGTGCAATCTGCACTCACCCCAGCGAGAATTGGAATGGGACAAGACTCAGCAATTCTTTTTCTGGCACAGTAGGTCAAGACCTATAAGCCATATGGAAGAATTTCCACAAGAGAAGGAGGATGAAGACTTCATAGGAATGAGAATGTCCAAGGACGTAACCTACAGTGTCTTTTCAAACAGGACAAACCGCAGTTGGCTGGGAAAAAAGATGAGTGAAATAAGTATTAATAGCCTGATTGAGACAATCCTCAATATTATGATCCATGCTTCCCCATTGAAGTTCCAATACTGTATTGGTGCACTAGGGCAAATCTTTGCCTCTTATCAAGTGTCTCCAGCCCTGCGCTCTGAGGCAGCCCATCGCCTTCTGGATGATACAGCCAATTCCAATCCACAGATCAGAGAACTAGCCTGGGAAGGTTTGAAGCGCCTAGGAATGATTACTCATCTCTTTGCCGTGCCTCTAGCCCAGGGATTGATGGACAAGGACCAAAGGGTGAGGAATAAGGCCCTAAGCCTCATGGCTGATACTGGAATCCACTCTAAGACTTCACTCTTAGGCTTGATCCAGAATCGAGAAACTTTCCAGGAGATACAGTAAGTTGTTTTTTCTTTCCTCGATTCTCTACCAGCTTCTAATTTTTTTCTTCCCTTTACCCATTTTTTCCCTGTCTCTTCCCTTGCTATCTCTTCACCCCTATTTATAAGCTCTTCTTGCTCTTTCTTCTCTTTCGTGGCTTTTTTCCTATTCCTAAACTGTCTTGACAATTCCCCTGACTACTCGCTCTATCTTCCATTTCCTCTCCTATTCCTGTCTGCCCCCTGCCTTTTTTTTTTTTTTTTTTTTTGCCTATTTCCTCATCTAATAGATAAGAAAATTGTGTTTCCAGGAGATTTTTCTTTTTGGTTTGTTTTTGTTTTTATTGTGCTTTAGGTGAAAGTTTACAGCTCAAGTTAGTTTCTCATATGAAAATTTATACACATATTGTTTTGTGACTTTAGTTGCAATCCCCACAATGTGACAGCACACTCCCCCTTTCCATCTCGGGTTCCCTGTGTCTATTCAACCAGTTTCTGTCCCTGCCTTCTCATCCTGCCTCTGAACAGGAGCTGCCCATTTGGTCTCTTGTATCTGAACTAAGAAGCACACTCTTCACGTGTATTACTTTTTGTTTTATAGTCCTGTCTGGTCTTTGTCTGAAGAGTGGGCTTCGGGAATGTTTTAGTTCTGGGTTAACAGAGCGTCCGGGGGCCATAGTTTTGGGGTCTGTCCCCTGCCTCTTGAAGTTCCTCTTTTTATCCCTTTCTCCCACCCTTGCAGCCTACATACAGATCACTCCATTCCTTGCCATCTTGGCTTCCTAGACTTTCTCTTTCCTCTTGGCCGTCCTTTACTTCTATATACGCTGTCGCTTCTGGTAACTTTGCCAAATCCCCTGCTTGTTCTTTCCTTCTCATACTCTTTTGTCCCTGATTCACCATAGTTTTCTTCTCTCCTTTGACTTTCATAGGCAGGAATTGATCGGAGAGGAAACCCTGGACCATCTGCTGGGGATGCGGGCAACAGATCTCCAAATCCTTCATACTCAAGTGCATCAGCGACTGAACGAAAACTTGACCTTGTCACATGGAGATGAAAAGCCTTCTTTTTCTCTGCATGTCTCAAGGACTTCTGAACTGAAGTCCCATGAAGGGCAATTTTTCACAGTTCCTGAAGAACCTGAAGTGGCCACCAAACCCAGCAAAGGCCAAAGACGGGGCCGAGCAGGGGGCAAAAAGCATAGTATGTATGGGGTGATCTAGTCCATGCTTCAGGGGCCCCAAGAGGCAGGGTAGTTAGGGCTCAGATGGGTCAAAAGATACTAGGTGAAAACAGAGATACATGGAAAGATCTTTTCACAGAAAGAAATCCTTCTAGGAAGGATCTACCCAAACCCAAGGAGACTCCAGGGCCTATCACTCTAGGACTTGGTAGGACTGGGAATAAAGCAAGGAGAATACCCCTTCTCCGTTTTTAATGTCTCACCCCTCTTTGTTGCTGCTGCTTTTGATGGTTCCTCTTAGCTCACACCATGTATTGGGAAGGGTTTCATTTAAATTTTCCATGCTTTTCTTACCTCCATCTCCCGATTTTCCTGGCAGCCCGAAAATTGTTGCGAAGTCTCAAGAAGATAAAAGAGGGAGCCTCAAAACTGATTAAAATAGAGTCAGGTCCGTTAGAAGGTGAAAGTGATCAGAGTGAAACAGCACCAATTGAGGTGGAAGAAACAGCCATCCACTCCATAGAGTCTTCACCCCCAAGCATGATAAAGGCTTCAAAAGAGGCTGAACAACCTGTAGAGAAAGATTCTTCAAAGGATCATATTGTATTGACCCTGAAGATGCTGAGGAAAATACGTGACAAAAACGGCAAGAAAATTACAGCTCAGAAACCCATTAAGAGGCACAAGAAGAAGAGAAAAGAAGCTGAAATTGAGGTACTTAAGCCTCTTGTGGAGGAAAAACCAATTATGAAGAAAGTTAAGACCAGTGGGCGGGGTGCCTCTGGAGTGCCTGGCTACAAGGCTACCATTGGAGATGACACATCATGGCGAGATGATTTATGTCGTCTCATGACCCTGAGGATCTCTGGTTCCCAAACAAAAATGTCAGAAGCTCTAAGCACTGAGATAGTAACCATGGCTCAGGAGATACTGGCAGATCGACACCCCAGCTGGGAGCTCTTCCAGGAGATCTGCCCTCTGTTGAGGAAGAAAAGCCAGGTTCTGCTTGAGGACCTTGAATGGGATATAGCCTGGCCAGAGGAGAAACCAATTTTTATCCATGAAGAAGCAATTAGAGAGGACGTGATAATCAGAGACATGCAAGAAGAGATATCAGAGAGTCAAGAGCAAGTGCTTGAGGAAGTCAGGGATATGCAAAAGTTGGAGGAAACTCAGATGATTACAAAAAAAGGCAAGAAAAAGAAAGTTATTTTTTTGGAACCAGGTGACCTAATGAAAGGAAAACGAATATCAAGGAAAGAGGAGAAGAAATTCCCTAAGAAGTCATCTAAGCAAGAGAAGAGAGCAGCCCAGCAGGAAGTAAAAGTAGATAAAAAACAGAGAGAAATGACCCAAAAAGAGAGGGACATGAGTGAGGAAGTGAGAGAAATGGTAGAAATAGAGGAGGAAGTCATTGGCCAAGAAGAAAGACCAGTTATAGTTGACAGGAAGCTGACCTGGCAGAAGTGGAAGAAATCCTGGGATCAGTGGGAACAGACCCAAAATGAGACAAAGATATCCTGGGATGAATGGAAGCAAGCCTGGGACAGGTGGTGTCATCAACATGGGGTTGAAGAGGATCTCTTTCCAGATGAAGAGAAGCTGGATGCGGACAAGAGGAAGCTGAGATGGGATGAGTGGGGACAGATCTTGGAAAAGAGTTTGTTTGCCAGGGCCCAGGAACAACTTTCCGAGGATGAGGAAGAATTGGCCCTGGAAGACGAATTACCTCAGGAATGGGAAGAAGAAGAGCCAGTCACAGAAGAGCAGAGACATATCCAAGAAGAACAGAAACAGGCCTGGGTAAAGAAGAAACGAGCCCAAGATGAAAGAAAACGAGCCAAAGAAGAGAAGAAACTGGCACAAGAAGAAGAGAAACTAGCACAAGAAGAGAGAAAACTGGCCCAAGAAGAAAAAAAGTTGGCCCGAGAATATGGGAAAATGGCCAAAGGACAGGGGGAAATGGCTCAGGCAGAGAGGAAACTTGCCCAGAAAGAGGAAAAACTGGCCCAAAGAGAGGAGAACTTAAGCCAGGAAGCAGAGCAGTTGGCCCAGAAAAGAATGAAACTGGCCAATAAATGGGAGAAACTGGCCAGAGAAGAAGAGAAACTAGCAAAGAAAGGGGGAAAACTGGCTGAGGTAAAAATGAGACTGGTTCAGGAAGTGGAAAAATTGGCCCAAAAGGAGGAAAATCTGGCAGAGAAAGAAAATGAGCTGGCCCAGGAATTGGAGGAACTAGCTCAGGAAGAGGATGAACTGACCTGGAAAGAAGAACTGAATCAGGAAGATAAGAAACTGGCTGAGGAAAAGGAGGAACTGACTCAGGAAGAGAAGAGACTGATCTGGCAAGAGGAAGAACTGGATGAGGAAGAGAAAAAACTGGCTGAAGAAGAAGAGCTGCTGATCCAGGAAGAGAAGAAACTGGCCCAGGACAAGGTAAAGACACCCGAGGAACAGAAAAGACTGTCTCAGAAAAGGAAGCAGCTGACCGAGAACAAGGAGAAACTGTTTCAGGAAAGGGAAAAAATGTTCCAGGACCAGGAGAAACTCATGAAGAACAAGAAGATACTATCTCAGAAGGAGGCAATTCTGGTTCAGGAAAAGGAGAATTTGGCTCAGAGGAAGAAAAGTTTGGCTCGCAGGAAAGAGACCTTCCTCCAGAACAAAGAAAAAATCACCCAGAACAAAGATAAATTAGTCCACTTAAAGAAGAGCCTGGACAAGTACAAGGAGAAACTGATTCTGATAGAGGAGAGACTGATACAGGAAAAGGAGATACTTACACAGAAGAAGGAGAAAGTAACTTACGTAGAGAAGAAAGTGGCCCAAGCAGAGGAAATTCTCTCTGAGAAACAGGAGAAACTGACCCAGGAAAAAATGAAACTAACTATGGAGAAGAGGACAGTGTTTCAAGAAAAGAAACTACTCAAAGATGAGTGGGATATTGCTAAGGAAGAAATAACATTGAGCATGGAAATGATGAAACTGGCCAAAGAGAAGAAGAGACTGGCTGAGGAAAAGGAAATTCTCTTCAAGGGAGAAACTCAAGAAACCTCCAAACAGAGAAGCCTGACTGAGGAGGAACTAGAAATACTTAGGAAGAAGTTGTTCCTGGAGGAGAAGATACTGACGTATGAAGATAGGATATTGGCCACAGAGGACAGGGACGTTGCCAAAAGAAATTTGGAATTTGCTAGAGGGGAGAGAATATACGCCCAAGAAGAAAGGAAGTTAGCCAAAACAATAAGGAAATTGGCTAAGCAAAAGAGGCGCACTTCCGGGGAACCATCAGAACAGAGCAAAATCTTAAACGTACTTCAAAAACTAATCAAAGAAGAAAGAGAACTAACCCAGGAAGAAATAGCGATGACAAAGATAAAGAGGTCACTCTTCGTTAAGGAGAGGAACTTAAGCAAAGAACAGAGTAAACTTGATAGTAAAGAATGGGATTTTTCTGAGGAACAATTAGAAATGACCAAAGAAGAGAAAAAACTGGCTCAGAAGCAGAGAAAACTGGCCAAGGAACTGAGACGTTTGACAAAGAAAGAGAAAAAAGCAACTGAGAAAGAAAGCCAGTTGGCCAGGGAAGAGAGAGAAGTCATACAGGAAGAGGAGGGAGCAGTAGAGGAAGAAAAAGTAATCCCATTCCCTAAAACAAGGTGGAGAAAGAGAAAACAGCAAAAGAAAGTTAAGGATATACCAAAGGAAGAGTTTCCCATTCAAGTGGATGAGGTGGAAAGTGAAGAAAGATTTTTTAAAGAAATGGAAAGCCTGTTAGATGAAGTAGAGCATGAGAGCTTGTCTGAGGAGGAGGAAGAGAAAAGCAAAAGTGATGAAGAGAAAGAGGAGGAGGAGGAGGAGGAAGAGGAGAAGGAGGAGGAGGGAGAAGTAGAGGAAAGCGTGAGTGAGGAGGAGGTGGAAAGTTTGAGTGAGGAAGTGGAAAGTTTGAGTGAGGAGGAAGAGGAGAGAAGCTCATTTGAAGAAGAGGTGGTTAGGGAAAAAGAGATCTTAAAAAAAGAAAAGAAACTATTTAAGTTGAAAGAAGAAAGAAGAGAAGGCCTAAGAGGAAAGGAAGCAGTTCCTTCTGTTGGAAAAGGAGTCCCTCAGGTCAAAGGCAGTGCTATCAAACTGGGAGTCCTAAAAAAAATCCCCTCCAAGAGACTAATCTCAATAGCTCTGGGGAGGGAAGAGAAGGTACCAGTACCACTGTCAAAACAAATATCCTGGGAAGTTGAAAAGCCCACAGTACTTGAAACACCCAGTAGAGTCTCAGAGACACAGTGTATGGATAAACAAAAAGAATTGGAGCGATCGAAGCCCATACCTCTACAAGTTTTGGGTACAGTTTTGGAGTCCAAAGAGCAGGACTTAAAGACCACAGCCATGTCCCACATATTTGGGGAAACCACGGAAGCTCAGAAACTCCAATACGATCCACGAGGTGCCAGGTGGAAGTGGTTTTTGCAACGTCATAGATCTCTAGTGGGGCAGACTGATATACGCTTACCTGTCCCCCAAATCCTAGGTAAAGAACAATATCCAGAGGTAAGTCTCTCAGATGTAGAGTGGATCCATCATGTTCTAGAACGGATGGAAGCAGGAGAGCAGCTTTCCAGGGAGAGTTTCCACAGACTGTGCCAGCTCCTCAAAGACCTCACCTCAAAGGGAAACTTAGAGTGGATGCATCTGGCCAAACTTCAAACCATCGTGTACCGTCACAAGCAGGCCCTGCAATCAAGAGGCACAGGTATCCCAAAACCCAGTAGGGATATCATGAGTCCAAAACACCTGAAAGTGATCCCTCCTATAAAAAGAAAGGAAGCAAAGGGCTGGCTAAAACCTTTGGCTGTTCCCAGACCAAAGTCTCCATTAGCTACCAAGAGGATTCCAGATCCAAAGACTACAGACTGGCATCTTTTAGGAGAGCCTTGTAGAAGTGGGCAGGCACAGCAGATATCCAGTGCTCTCAGGGAGATGGAGGTGCAACATATTTATCCTGCCACAAGAGACATTTTCACAGGTGCCCAAGCCTATGTGGACAAACAAACCCAACCACTGATATTTCAAAAGGATTTCTGGACTTTAAAGGGCAAGAGCAGGTTTCCCAAATTGCCCAAGTTGGAGAAGAAGGCACAGCCCATCACTAAAAAAAGGGAAGAGGTGCCTAGATGGGAGACATTTGTGGCCCTGTACCATGTCTTGAGGATGTTGCAGCAGCAATATGCAAAAGACAGCATTGCTTGGATGGAACATTTCTACCAACTCATGGACCTGTACCAACTTAAGTCCCCCCGAATCCAGAGGCTACTACAGGAGCTACTACTAAGAGAGGAGCCCCATCCCCAAGCAGTCATCTACAAAGAGGCCCTAAAGGCAGTGGAGCTAGTTCCTGGGGAGCGGTTGCTCTACTGCCTGTTTTGTGGTGGTTCTCACACTCCTGGAGGTCCTCTTAAGTTCCAGGCGGTAGTGTCACTCCCGGGGCGGAGCAATGTACGCACCATCCTTCCCATGGGCATTGCCCAGTATGGGCTTTTAGAACTTGCCTGGAAGAGCCTACCCCAAGCTGATAGTCACCTCACCAAGGAATTGCCTCACGTTGTCACTCCCACCCTCTAATTTGGGACTGACTGGATGTCAGGTCTTTTTCTTCCCAATCGGAGAAAGGCCTGGTCACCAGAATCTAAATCTTCATCCACACAGAAGTAGGGCCAGGTCAAGGCTCTTTCCCCTCCAAGCTCTAGAAACCAGATTCTATATGTGGAATAAAAAGGAGGCTCTCATTTGCAACAAACTTTGGTGTATCTCTTGTCCTCCAACTTTGGCTCGCCAGGGAAACCAGATAGTCACATTCTCCTGAGGGTGGGAAAACTTTCCAAAAGCCAGTGGTTCTCACCCTATGGAGTCTTTGAGGCAGCAGAGTGTGTTCTTGTCCTCTTCCTTCCTTTCCTCCCCCCATCCTCCCCTAAAGGTCGTGGAAAGGAAAGTACCTGGCAGAAAAACTGATGTGTATTTGGCATTAACATAAGAAGTATTGATAAAGTGGAAGGAGAGTGGATTTTAGAATTGTAAGACCCTTAGTGTTTTGCTCCTTAGTATTTGGGGATGTACAGTGGAGGATAAGAGGCTGACTCTATTTCCCTGATCATAACTCTGCATGCTGGTGACTTGAGTCCCAAACAGCAGGTATGACGGGCATTGAAGAGGCTCTTAGAGCAAAGGAAAAAGTTTCTACAATTTCTAGCCAGCACCACACGGTGACTTTATCACTGGATGGCACCAAGGGGTGAGGCCAGTTGAGGTTAAAGCAAAAAGAAAAGGAAGGAAGCCTATGTCTTTCAACTCCTTCACCACCACCTGGACATGGAGTTTGGGGAGGGTGAGGGGATGAGAATTTGGGGAAAAAAAATAGGTCCCCCAATTTTGTAGGGACTTAAGATCCTTCCCTCTAGTAATTAAGGAAATGGGTTAAATGAAAAAGGGTAGTAAAGTGGAGGAAATCATCACTGCCAGTAATCCTATTCCTTCCCTGATCTCCTGTCCCCACCATGGAGACTTCAGAACTGCTTCTAGAAAGTTTCCATCTATGCCATTTACCACCCCACCCCCACCCCCACCTCTCCTTTGTTAGTCTACTCCCTCCACATGTTTGGTTTTGGAGAGAAACAGTGGTAGAGGGCAAGAAAATATTCTGAGCAGTTGGATTCACCTTGGAGGCCAAGGGCAATGAGAGCCTTGGCTCTGCAGTTGGGCTTTTCCATGTCAGGCCAAATAGAGCAAGTGAGGACTGTGGGCTGTGGTCAGGGAGCCTCAGAAAGAATGATTGACCCAAGCAGGGCAAGGCTGCAGAAATAAAGGTAGCCCAGCTGGTTGTGCAGCCTTGACCTGAATCCTTTCTCCTTTTTGACCTCTGTTCAGTTGTCTGTGTCAAAAAGGGGATAGCGCACAAAAGCACAAATATCAAGTGTGAAGGAGGGACCATCACCACAGATCCTGCAGGCATTAAAAGGATAATAATGTAATTCCTATGAACAACTCTTTTGCCCATAAATTTGAAAACATGGATGAAATGAACAAACCCAGAAACGGAATAGCAATGTCTTTCTGATTGATTTTGCAGGCTATCAGTGGTCTGGCGGGCTTCGTGGCGTGAGTGGGTTTTAATGAGTTTTCTGGTCAAAACAAACAAAAAGAGTGGATTGTTTAACCGTTGTGGTTCCAGAGTCAGGAAGTCTATGGATGGCTCTTCGTGGGGTCTGAGATCCTGGGTACAGGCTGTGACAACATAGATAGCATCCTGTCTTTTTCAGAATAGCAGAGAACAGTAGTTGTTTGTATTTTCTTTTTACTAGGAAAATTTTCAATCACCAAAGTAGAAGAGAGTATTATAATGAACCTCATATCCCCAGCACCTAGATTTTAATTGTTAACATTTTGCCAAAATTGCTTCATCTGTTTTTTATTTGTTGACGTATTTTAAAATGAATCCCAGACACTATGACATTTCAACCCTAAATACTTCTATATTCATCTCTAAAAAGTAAGAACATTTCCTTGCATAATGATGTTCACATCTGACAAAACTAATGATTCCTTAGTATTATCCAATACCAGTTTGTGCAAATTCCTCTGGTTGTCTCTCAAAATGTCCTTTTACACTCAGTTTGTTCTAATCAAAATTCAGACAAGATCTATACAATATGATTGTTATGCTTTCTAAGGATTTTAAATCTTGAACATTTATACCCCTCCCCATCCCACTTTTTTCACACCATTAATTTGTTGAAGAGACTGATCAGTTGCCCTGTAGATGGTTCTATGTTCTGGATTTTTACGGTAGAGCGGGGTTTCTTAACCTGATGTCTGGACGCACTTCAATGGTCCATGAAGTTCCTGAAATTAGATGAAGAATGTTGTTGGTATGTGCATAGGCTCCCCCTCCGCCCCCCCACCCCCACCTTGGGAAAAAGTCTAGCTTTCATCCGATTCTCAAGGCTGTCCTTGGCACAAAGTTAAGTCACTACTTAAGGAAAGAGCATAGACACCAGGACTTTTAGCTCAGACTATCACTTGAGTGACTTAAGTACCTTCCCCTTGCTGGGCCTTAGTTCTCTAATTTTTGAAGGGACTTCAGACTTCACCAGGATATTAGAGTTTCTATCTACCCTTTCCTTCTCACAGCATGTATGTTCAGGGTGGTTGCACAGCCGCCAACTGCTCTGAACTAGAAATAGGCAATAAGGAGCTGACCTTGGGTAGGCCTTTGAAGGGAAGAGGCTCTTAACGTTCCCTGGAAGAATATTACATGCTCAACCTAAATATATACATATATATATATATACATACACACACAAACACAGGCACTCACAGACATACACATACACATGCATATAAATATACATCCATAGATACGTCTATGTGCATATAAACATGCTTGCGCAGGCGCACGCACACGTATTTTAGAGATCATGAGTTCACTCTAATATTTCTAATTCATCCCTATAGGGTTCATTGTTGCCTGCCCCTATTTCATATTTGTATGGCTTTTCTTCCACAATGAGTATCTTGTCTCCCAGCACCATCAGCACTATAATTCTATAATGCATGTGAAATAAAATAATGTAAAAATAATGCATGTAAAATAGTTTAAGAATTGCTTCACCAATAGCACTATGATAAATAAACCTATTAAAGGAATTCAGGATTTGTTTGCAATTTTTCCCCACTCCAGCCCTCACCCATTCCAAAGATGAGGGTATTGGTCAGATTCTGGGCTCATAAGGTACTTGGAGTAGTTCTTTTGTTATTATGTTATTCGTTCAAAATACAATTAAGTTCATTTGTTTCAGTTTGCTTTCAGTTATAGGCTTCCCTCTCTTCTGATTCTTAGTGATTTATTTTTATTGTTTGAATCTACAGAATGTTGAAAGACTTTTTCAAAGTCAAAAGTACTTCAGAAGTGTACTCATAGAGGTGTCACTACCTCCTATATCCTTCCTGCCCCATTTTCCCCTACCTACTTGCTTGCCAAAAGTGAAGACCACTGGAGGCACTTACTGATGAAGATCAAAGACTGCAGCCTTCAGTATGGATTACACCTCAACATAAAACAAAAATACAACTGGACCAATAAGCAACATCATGATAAACAGAGAAAATACTGAAGTTGGCAAAGACCTGATTTTACTTCGATCAACAATCAATGCCCGTGGAAACAACAATAAAGAAATCAAACAATGTATTGCATTAGGCAAACCTGTTGGAAACAACCTCTTTAAAATCTTAAAAAGCAAAGATATGAGTTTGATGACTAAGATGCACCTGAGCCAAGCCATGGTATTTTCAATTACCTCCTATGCATGCAAAAACTGGACAATTAAAAAGGAAGACAGAAGAAGAATTGACACATTTGAATTATGGTGTTAGTGAAGAATATTGAATATACCATAGACTGCCATAAGAACAAACAAATCTGTCCTGGAGGAGGTACAGCCAGAATGCTCCTTAGAAGCAAGGATGGTGAGACAATGTCTTGCTTACTTGGACACGTTATCAGGAGGGACCAATCCCCGGAGAAGGACATGCTTGGTAGAGCATCAGCGAAAAAGAGGAAGACCCTCAATGAGAAGGACTGATACAGTGGCTGTGACAATGGGCTCAAACGGACCTACTATTGTAAGGATGGTGCAGGACTGGGCAACATCTCATTCTGTTTTACATCGGATTGCTATAGGTCAGAGCCAACTCTGTGGCACCTAAGAACAAATAACAGCAACCCCTTGTAGGTAACAAACTTCAGTGTTTTCTGGTTTATCTTTCTGTTACCTTTTACAATGAATTTTTCTCTACAAGGGAGCAGAGAAATGGGGAGCTGGATAGAGGAGAATATGGGGTCAAGGAAGGGTTGTGTTTTTTTTCAAATATGAGGACTATCACTGTATGCTTGTGTGATGATGGGAATGATCCAGTAGAGTGGGGCAAATTGCTAGAGTGATGACCTTGAGTAGGTGAGAAGGGATGGGATCCAGTGTACAAGTATAGGAGTGGGTCTAAGAAACACAGACTATTTATCCGTAATAACTGAAGGAAGAAGGAGTAGATGAGTATAAATGTGGTGGTGGGACATGAAGAAGTTTTCTTCTGGTGGTTTCTGTTATTTTCACTGAAATAGGAAACAAGATCATCAGCCAAATAAAGGAGGGAGGATGTGTTGAAGGATTGAGGAGTGTCTTAGTCATCTAGTGCTGCTATAACAGAAATACCACAAGTGGATGGCTTTAACAAACAGAAATTTATTCTCTCACAGTCTAGGAGGCTAGAAGTCTGAATTCAGGGTGCCAGCTCCAGGGGAAGTCTTTCTTTCTCTGTCAGCTCTGGGGGAAGGTCCTTGTCATCAATCTTCCCCTGATTTAGGAACTTCTCAGCACAGGAACCCCAGGTCCAAAGGACGCACTCTGCTTTCTTGGTGGTATGAGGTTCCCATGTCTCTCTGCTTGCTTCTCTCTTTTATATCTCAAAAGAGATTGACTTAAAACAAAACCTAATTTTGTAGATTGAGTCCTGCCTCATTAACATAACTGCCGCTAATGGTACCTCATTAACATCATAGAGGCAGGATT